ATGGATTGTAAAAGGAGATAAAGAGCTTGTACATTTCAACAACTGTGGGATTGGCAGAGTAAAGCTATGTATTAATGGGGTGTATTGGGGCATTGCTGAAAGAGGGAAGAATTAAGGTTGCATGGGCAACCTTAACTGTATATTTCCTGGTTTTCATAAGTTTGAGTTTTACTCAACTCAGTGGCCTGGAAGGGGATGATATACAGTAGTTATGAACAATACAGGAATGGAGGTGGTTCATAACTCTGAAATGTTCATAACTCAACAAAATGTTATGGTTGGTCTTTCAAAAGTTTACAACTGAACATTGACTTAATACAGTTTTGAAACTTTACTATGCAGAAGAAAAATGTTGTTTTTAATCATCTTAGTTTAAACGAAACAAGCACAGAAACAGTTTCTTTACATTGTCAAATCTTTTTTTAAACTTCCCTTTATTTTTTTAGTAGTTTACGTTTAACAGAGTATTTGCTTCTCTTTTTTTGTTCCTCTCTCTGCTGCTGCCTGATTCCATATTTCCAGTTCCAACTGAGGTGTGTGGTTGACCGGTCAGTTCATAACTCTGAGGTTCTACTGTACCACCAAGCAACCTTAACTCTGGGTTAATATAGTTTTTTGGCATTGAATATATATTTGCTATAAACATTAATTTAGCTGTATGAGGCCCCTATAATTGTACATGGGGAAACTGAGCACAAAGCAGTGACTTATCCAGCTCACAGGGAATTTGTGGCAAGGCCAGGAATAGAACCTGGGAGTTGCAAACACCCATCTCCTTCTCTTGCAGCTATACAGTGCTCCCTCTGTTAAGGAATGGGAGGAGACTGGGGAACAGCCTGAGACCGAAAGTAAAGTGGTGTAAGAACAGAAAGCTACCAATAACATGTTAGGAGCCCTACTGCTTTGTAGGGAAAAATTCTCTCCTCTCCCCAATTCCCCTTTGATCAACAACGGGAAGTGTGAGATTGCCTGGGGAAGTGGAGTGAGAGCTCTCAGCAGATACTCGAAGGGAGCAGTTTGTTGATATTGAGGAGTGTTGCCACTTAGCTCTATATAAATATTACTTACCAAAACCTGTAACACCTTACCTGTCCCAAAAAAGTGCCCCAGTGCCTGCACTGATGTATTGGGTCAGGGCTAGTTACTGGTTTGCTGGCTGCATGAAGCTGAATGCACTGGCCACATCGCTAGCCAAGGGACTCCAGGAAAGGCATACTACCTTTTTAATAAGGTAGTAATTCACTTTCCACGTGGAAACACAGTGCTGGGACCTGGTCTTCTCTGGGTTGCTGATTCGGAGAGTCCGGGAGTGCATTCCATCCAGCCCAGGGACAGAGTCACTCTTCGATCCTCCCCCATTTATAGAACTCATCATGGGCCCTGGTTTCAGAGGCGCTGACCTGCAGCTGCCAGTGAGGTCAGTGGGCCCAGATCATTTTGAAAATCAGGCTCCTAGTCTTCAGTGATGGCCTTTTTACCCCGACAGCCTCCGTGCACATGCATCAGCCATGAGTGCCTTCCCCTCTCCTAGGGAATGATAACAATCATGTGTGCTGCTGGGAGGCAGGTGGCACGGGTTTGGCATTTGGCGCTGATGTGTGTATGTACAAGGCCTGTGTTTATACGCCTGTCTGCACATCCCCCAAGCCACATTCCACACTCATGGCTCATCACCAGCTTTCTCCAGAGAAGTCAGTTGGTTTTGGCCCAAAAAGATGATTTGCTCGTGCAGACAGGAGCTGTCTTGTCTGCAGTGCAGACTGCCAGCTGTGGCATCCCTGCGATGTTGCTGACTTCCAGTAAAAGGTGAATCCTGCACACAATCCCGCTTCCCCCTGGAACCATGTACCCTATCCATACTTGTGTTTCCCCACCCTCTTGCTCAAGATGCTGTGTACTCCCTCATTTCCATGATGCTTTGGGGGAAGGAAATGGGGGGAGGAGATATACCCTATATTTCAGCCTCTCTCCTTGGTCCCTGAAGATGGCAGAACAGCCTGTCCCTAGGAAGAGTCCTCAGGGCTGGGCCGTACCTGGAAGCCCAGCTGTTCCTGGCTCCATCCTGCCTCTTTCCAACACTTTCTCTCTGTGTCTTGTGCTTTCTATCATGAGTGCAAGGTGGAAAATAACACACAAGTGAAGAGCAAAGGCCTGGTCTCAGTGTGGAATAGCAGAGGCTGAGTCTATTCTGTTCTATATAGGTTTTTATATCACGCTTATTACTGTAACATCTGAGCACCTTCCACTAATGCATTAAACAATGTGAATACGTGTCTGTCACATATTTGTTCTCTCATTCTCTGCCCAGAGGGAGAAGCATTTGTAAAGGAGTGTCTTGTTTCGGTGGAGTTTTTTGTTTTTGTTTGTTTAAATAAATATACCTGTTGCTCTATGTTTATATTAGAGAAAACAAGGTCAAAGAAATGTGCCTTGCTCTTGGAGTGGAAAGTGGTGAGATTTGTGATGGTCCTTAGTTCTTGGGGAGTTCATAACACAGTCTTGGACTGCCCTCAGAGAAGGTTCTGTCTCCCTCACAAACAAGCTTTACTCCTATTGTTGAGAATTCCATTGTGCCAAAAGAGCAAAGTTGTTGACCACAATCTTTATCCTAGCGCATTAAACGGTCTTTTAGATATCCTCGGCCCAGGCCATGGAGCGCTTTGACGAGAAGGACTGAGACCTTGAACTTGATTTGATATTTTATGAGAAGCCAATGCAGAGAGTGGAAGACAGGTGTGATGCATTCATGGTAGCCAGTGCTGCTGAGGAAACGCGCTGCAGTGTTTTCTACTAGTTGGAATTTCCGAAGTGCTGGAAGTTTCATGCCCAGGTATGCCACGTTACTGAAGTACAGCTGAGAGATGACAAAAGCATGAATAACTGAGGCCAGGTCACCTTCTGTCAGGATGGGGTGGAGTCTCCTAGCCAACCAAAGGTGATAGACAGCATTATTCATGGCCATTGCAATGTGAGAGCTCAGTCAGTGAGGAATCCAAGAGTACTCCTAGACTGGACTGAATTGACAAATTGTGGATGTGAATCTTCAACCACTGTACTGTGGCTGTAAACTCCTCAAAATACTTTCCTCTGCCCACCAGTATCACCTCTGTTTTGCTTGGGTTCAGATTCAACCAACTGCTCTTCATCCGTGAGCTGATCTCATCCAAGCACTGGGCGATCTTGTTGGTAGTGGTGTGGTCGAATGTGGTGAAGGATAGATAGAGCTGTGTCGTCTGTATATTGCTGGCACCTGAGTCCCTGTGATCTGACCAGTTCACGTACTTGCTGGATATAAATGTTGAAAAAGATCAGAGAGAGAATTGATCTTTGTGGAACCCCACAAGCAAGGGGTAGTGGTAGAGGTGCAGTTTCCCATCTTTGGATGCAAACTGCGGGAAGGACCCAAACCATTTTAATGCATTACTCTGGACTCCTGCCACCTCCCTCAGGTGAGACAGCAGTATCTTGTGCTCAGCAATGTTAAACGCTGCAGAGGCGTCCAGGAGGATGAGAATGGATGTTCATCCCTGCCACAAAGCAGTTTCAGTTCCGCATCCTGTCCTGAATGCAGATCCTGCCAGGTCTAGATTGCTGGCTTCAGTGAGATGAGCTTGCTCAGGAAAGGGAGGTTTGGCTAGGACTGATGCAGCCTTGCTGCCAGGCCATGTCTAAGCAGCGCTACAGCTGGGCTGCATGTATCCCAACCTGCCTTAGGAAAGGAAAGGAGGATCTGGTGATGCAGGAAGTCTTGGGCATGGTGAGTCAATGACTGCACCCATAATCGGCGGTCCCAGCACAACAGCCTCCCAGTGATCCCTCAGTCTTATGGTATTTGCATCATGTCTCTGTGCAAACTGGCTCTTATTTCCCTCGCTGCCCTTGGACTTGAAGCTCTTTGGGTGGGTGGGTGGATACTCCCATCTCCTCCCAGGTAGGAGAGAGAAGGTTGTGCAGTAGAGAGCAATTGTCTGAGTCTGGAGCACAGCGTTCCTTGCGCAGGCACTGCTGCGCTCCTCTCTTTAAGATGCACAAGGCTCTTCTTTTCCAAGCTGCCACCTCCTTGCGCGGCTCCCTCTGCCCATTCTTGGGAGGCACAGATGGGCGGAGCAATAACCAGTAGCAGAATGTCTGACGGGAAGCGAATGGCTCAGTGGGGAGGGTCAGATGTCTAGTTAGCAAGTAAGTTTGAGGGGCTTCCCCCAAGCCACCCCCAATAGGCTTGTGCAGGAGCTTTTCATTCATAGCCTCATGCCTCCTGACAGGCTGTGGTCCTGCACCATAAGCTCTTGTTCTAGTGCATCCTCACAGCATGTACTATCTGCAGTGCCCGCTGAGCAAAGTGACACGCCAGCTTCTGTGAGTTCCACATCAGCCCTGTGACCCGACAACAAATCTCCAATGTGCCTAAAACCCACCAGGCCCCACCCTCAACCCCTCTGTACCTGGCACTTGGGTGCTCCCTGCTTACGCTACACTGCCAGGCATAAAGGGGCGGGCTAAGGGTTCTCTTGGTGTCTCTCTGCCCCCCGAGGCTCCTCAGGCCTGGCTCTTTCATCAGGAGTAGTGTATGCAGCTTCAGTGTGGGCAGCGGGATCACTTCATGTGTCCCAGGGTAGAGTTTAGACTTGGCTCGGTGTAAATCCTGCTGGGACTTCCGTAAAGCTCCTTGTGGCCCTTCAGGAAGGGAAGTGTAATGGCAACGATTCTGTGCCTAGCTCAGTGGGGTCCGGCTCCGTGACTCGGGATCCTGGTGCTACAGTGATACAAAGAGTGATTCCATCAACATGCCTGCTGTCTCAGGGCAGCTAGACAGCCAGCTGGTATATTTGGGACAGAGATCCTGCCAGTTCCCATGGCCATGCCAGAGGTTCCCAACTGCTGGGCTGTGTTCAGTGATGAATCCCTTGGGGGTGGATTGTGGAAGGAGAGACCCCCAAGGACTGGGGTGGCCATGTTCACTGTGTGCTATAACCTGCTCCATCTCACTCTCTTTCCCCAAGGGTGCATGATCTGCCTGGGGCAGTCAACCTTCCTCCGGTTTAATCACCCTGCTGAGGCCAAGTGGATGAAAAGCATGATCCCAGCTGCAGAAAGGAGTCCTGGGGCCCCATATGGACTCACGGCAGGTAGGTGAATCCTCCATGCTCAGGGCCCGGGAGTGAGGACACCTATGTTTTATTCTTGACTCTGCTGCTGACTCAAGCAAGTCAGTTTCCCCTCTCTGTGCTTGTTTCCCCACCTCTAATGTGGGGATAATAAACCACCTCCCAGGTGGGAGTTGTGTCAGTGCCTGTGGGCCTGGGATTGCTCTGAGGAAGAAGATACCCCCTGTGAGTGTTAATGGCAGCAGACTGAGGTTTTGTCTACACCATGCAGCTTTTAGCAGACATGGCTGTGCCGCTAAAAGCCGCGCAGTGTAGCTGCTGTTTGTCGGCAGGAGAAAGCTCTCCTGCCGACAAAAACTTCCACGCCCCCACGAGCGGCAGCAGCTTTGTCTGCACTCCTGCCGACAAAGTGCTGTTCACACCGGAGCTTTTCATCAGTAAAACTTCTGTCGTTTGCGGGAGGGGGGGATTGTATTAACACCCCTGAGCGACAAAAGTTTTGCCCACGAAGTACCAGTGTAGACAAAGCCTCAGAGTGTAATGAGCTCAACAGAGCCCAGATATTCAGTAGGGCAAAGGTCAAACCCTGGGCCTTGGAGAGAGGCGTTTCGGGAGGGAGCTCTGCCAGGGCTCAGATCGGCATTTCTGTCCAGTGCTGTGGTCTTTTAGTCTGCAGCTACCCCTACTCTCTGCCAGGTTGTTGCTGCGCTCTCTGAGCCACTGAGAGTCACCAGTGCTGGGTTTGGTGCCTGTGCAGAGCCGGAGAGTGGCAGCGATGTCAGGCAGGAACTTCTCCCTCTCTCACCAGTGAAGGAAGGGGAGAAGGGGACTCATTTGCTTCTGAAGGATCAGGTGGAGGCTGCTGCTGGAAGTGGGAGATTGGGCTTGATTGACAGGTCTGCTCCTATAGGCCAGTTCTGCCATCACACCAAATGGAAAGGCCGTGGGCCAGTTCTGCAGTCCTTACTCAGGCAGCACTCCTATTTGTTTCAGTGGGAATTTTGCCTTTAGCAAGGGCTGCAGAGCTGGGCCTGAGCCTTTCTACTTGGTATGATGGCAGAACTGGTCTATAGGATTTGCAGATGTGTCCATCAAGCCCAGGCTCCTACTTCCAGCTGCAGCCATGACTGACTTTTATTTAGGCTGAGCCAAAGCTGATGCCATTAGGGCTGGCAGTGAGTGACTCTGGGGGAAGCAGGTGAGGTCTGATAGCTCAGTAAATCCATTCCCGTGAGAGCATGCTCCTAACGTGGTCATACAACCACACCTTGGCGTTATGGTTCAGCATATGGCCCAGCCCGGTGGAGCTACAGGGTGGCCTGCACAACCTAGGATTTAACATCTCTCAAGTGCTGAGCTTTCTACTCCCTGTAGCAGTGTTTGGTTTAACCCTTCATGTGCTGTTACCAGAGCACCCTCACCAAGACACCTGCTTGACCCTTCTTGGGGCTGGGCAGTGAGGCGCTTTGACTGATGCAGACTAAATGTTGTCCTCCTTAATGGCCCCTTGAGACAGACTTGCTGACTTGGTGCCTACAGTGGGAAGGGTTCAGCGAGAGTCTGTGCTGGTAGCATAGCAATACTGGGAGCCAGCCTGGGAGATAGAGAGGGAGCAGAGGGGGGAGTTCACAGGGGCTTTCCAATAAGGGAGTCTGGCTGTTGACGGCTAGTCCTTTCCTGCTTGCATTCCTCTATCTGTACAGTGGGGCTTGTATTGGGGCAGTCTCTGAGCACACCCCTTTGTGGCATGGCATGCTACTGCACCAACCTACATAGCTTTCAGCACATCCAGTTGCTGCGGTGACTTAGGCTGAGTCACATCAGAGTCCACCCCTTTGTGGGCAGTAAACTCCAAACAAACACAAAATCAAAACAATTCTCTATCCCCCGTGGGCTCAGTTTCCATCACTGTTTTATAGAGCCTTGATTCTTGAGGCAGCTCTCCCTGGAGCCTCTAACCCCGGGGTTTCTGTGGGAGCCTCCTTCCAGATTCCCCTCTCCTCCTAACTGAGCATCTCCTGGCTTTTTATGAGCACTAGGTGCTCTCTGATTTAGTCACCTGACCCCTCAGCAGCTACTCCACCTTTGGGTCTGGGACCAGGCCCCCTTAAAGGGCACTCATCCAGTGACAGGGCCCATGATCCCGACTCCTTGTGAGACTAAACTCCTTACTGTTTGAAAAGCAATTTGAAGAGCTGAGTGCTTGGCAGTCAGGGGGAGGTCAGGCTGGCATCCTGCACCAGCAGTTTATAGCAGAGTGCATCCCTCCCCCCAAGCACCCATCATGGGCAAAGTACATCAATGAGGCACTGAGAAACCAGAGGGGTGTATTCTTGGTCCCATTGAGATTACTAGCAGAGCCCTTGCTGACGTTAGTGGGGCCAGGATTTCACCCCAGGACTTGGTGTTGGGACCCAATCGGGAGCCTGGTGAGAGTCCCATGTGAAGCTGTCTGGGGCAGGAGGGCATGTTCTGTGTAAGGAATGCTGGCCATGGTGGAGCCCTGCTGGCTCTCCCTCCCTCCTGCGTTTTTTGTTTCTCAACATTGTAACCACAGACCCTGACCATGCGGTGTCTCCTTAAGCAGTGCTGTCTGGGATGCTAGCCCCCACTTCTCATGCGGGAGCAGTGCTTATGTGGCCGAGTGCCACCTGCCCCCGTTCACTCCACTTTAATAAATGAAACATGCAGGCGGTTTGGCAGGCGAAGCTGCTATTTGCTCATTACATAAATGATGGTTATTGAAGATTCCGTTAAAAACTCCATTACACTGAATGCAGATGTCACCCAGCGCAGATCTAGGGCCATCTTGAGAAAAGCCCTGCGCTAACTGGATCTCTCCGTTTAGACCTACCAGTGTCCCCACTCCTGCCGGGGGCCATCGGGGCCCTGGGCCCTGATAGAGGAGCTGTTAGGAGTTTTGTGTTTCCAGCTGGTGAAAAAAATCTCAGGGTTGGGGACTGAAATGTTTCTAAAATGATCTCTCTGCTTGCTAAGAGATGCCTGCTATTTACGTGTATATGAACAGCATTTACCCTGGTTTGTGGCCTTTCCGTTCCTGCACCCACTGTTGACTCAGCTCAGCAACTGCTCTTCTGTTTGTTAATTATTAATACGTGTCTCCAAAGAGTTTAATTGTAGCAGCTCCTGAGCTGAACCCTTGACTGAACACAGGACCTGGCTGGCATTTCACACCGGTTCTCCTGGTCACAGGGCAGGTTCCAGAGACCTTCTAGCCCTCAGAACAGCATAAAACACAAGGTCACGAGCCTCATCCATTGTGTCGAAAGCAGGGAACCCTCCTGGAGCTGGGTGGGGGAGCTGCAGGCAGCGCTTGTCTGTAAGGGCGAATAAATGCAAGATTCAAAGGCTGTTTCTTCAGCCCGGGGGTTCCTTGTTACTTTTTTCCATGGAGTGCAAGTCTCCTTCACCTTCTGTGGCTGTTCTCCCCCTCTGCTGCCACTGACTATTGATGGGAGACTGGGTTGATCCAGGCCAGTGGCTATGTGCTGTCTCCACACACCTTCTCAGGCTGTGCAGGGCTTCCATTAACACTCCATACCTCCCCTGCAGCTCCTGGCGTGGTGGTGTGGCCAGGACGTTGCTGTGCTCTGGCTATTCCTGGTTGCCAGAATGGCCCCTTGGGGCTATAGGCAGTCTTCAGACATAGCCCCCAGGAAGAGGAAGCACACAGGTAGGGCAAAGTCTTCTCTGCCCTGCTCCCCTGCTGTCCCTGCACAGCCAGGACAGAATGTGGCCCACACTCTTTACCAAAGCTCACAAAAGAGGGGCCTCTTTCCTCTTTGCCCATCCCACCTGTCATCTGAGACCCACTCCCATCAGGAGAGGCTTGGGTTCTACTCCCTAAGAATGAAGCACTGCAGGGACCTCAGATTCCTCATGCTGTGCAGTCACACACAGCCCCTAAACCCCAGGTGTCAGGGGACAGGAGCTTAATTCAGAATGTCATCGTCCCCTTTGCAGACTATTAGCAGCCCCAATGGAGATAAGCTCTTTCTCTGTTGCATCAGGGTTGTGTTTGTCTGGGCCTGTAGAACAGAAGGCATTAGCTGTTTGCATGGAGGAATGGGCCGCTAGCTGCAGCATCTCAGGCTCTGACTGCTGTCTGGGCCCACATTGGCTGTATCAAACTAGCTAGGGTGATGCACAAGGAGAGGAGACAGCCTGTGTCACAAGCCTGGCAGTAATCTGCCTGGGGTAGCTTGATACCCACTAGTGTGTGTGTGAGGGACCACGTGCTGCTGTTAACCTGCTAGCATGCGAGGGAAGGGAGCATGTGGAGCCAATGAGTGTGTCAGAGCTTCTGGAACCCCATGCTTTTCTAGGGGTGTGTATGCACATACTTTCTAGGCAATTATTTCCTGCATGCCGGTCTCGAGCGCATATCTGGGCTGTCTAATGTACATGACCCCTAGCATACACACCCCAGGAGGGCCAGGAACCATGCCTGGGTGGAAATTAGAGAGGAGGGGCCTTACACTTTTTAAGACTTTTCACTATGGCATTTTGGTCTATGGCATAGAAGTATCCATTCCCTGCATACACAAGAGTCAGCCTAGAATGAGAGTGGGGAATTGTCACTGGTTCCCACTGGATACATCCAGCAGAGCCCTGTTCGATGTCAACCAAGGGCTCCAGGCAGAACTGAATTCACTTTTCTTAAGTAATTTGATTTCTGTCCCTTCACTGCCTCTGACTGCCTCTGCAGTGAGTGCTGGTCCTAAGGGCGCGGATCCCAACACTGCAGTCAGCCAGGGTGCCGTCTGGATTCTGGCTTGCTGTGGTTTCAACACGATGAGATGCTTTTCAAAGGGAGCTCGTCCAGCTGGTCTGATTCACCTCTGAAAATGGTCTCCAAGCTGAAGGCTGGTCCTCACCTGTCCTGTAGCCAACCCTGCCCTGATGTTTTGAAGAGAGAGCTCTGCAATGTCCTTTGCTAGCATGTGTTTGTATCCCTGATGACTGTCGATGGTGCTGGGCACTGGGGAGACATAGGGACA